GGCTCATGTTTATCTTGTGGTCAGCCATGACCCCCAAGTCCCTTTTGGCCATGGTCCAAGCAAACGTAGTACCACTGAGCCTATAAGTATGATGTGGGGTTTTCCCCCAAGGTGGAGCACCTTGCATTTTTCAGCATTGAATGTCATCAGATTTGTATCCACCCATTTCTAAGCCTGTCAAGGTCATCCTGGATCACCAGCCTATCCTCAGGGGTGGATGCTTTACCCCAACATTTGGTGCCATTGGTGAACTTTGTCAGTCCACTTCAGACACCGATGTCCACATCATTAACAAAGATGTTAAAGAGTATAGGCCCAAGGATGGAGCCCTGGGGGACACCACTGGTCATGGAGCACCATGATGATTTACTTCTGTCGATTACCACTCTCTGGGTCTCACCCTGGCTGTCCCATACTGTGTTAAGCAGGGCAGTCCCTTTGGGCTGGTGAAAAACCAACGCAGAATACCCATTAAGCAGGTTGGCTTTTTCCTGGGTGTCAGTTGTCAGTTGTCCCATATGGTTTAGCAAAGGTCCAGTGTTACCCTTGCTTTTCTTCCAACTCCCCACATATCTAAAAAGGGATTTTTTATTGTCCTTGATACATGTAGCCAGTTGGAGTTTGGTTGCAGCCTTCGCTTTCCTGGTTCACTCCATACAGGTCCAGATGAGTGCAGAGTACTCCTCCTTTGTGATGATTCCAGACTTTCATTCTTTATAGGTATCTCTTTTTAGATGCAGGAGGTTCACAAGTTCCCTGCAGAGCCAAGGGGGCTGCTGTGTCCCTTTGCTACCTTTCCTCTGACATGAGATGGACATTGCTTGTGCTTTCAGCATCGCTCCCTTGAGGAGCAACCACTCATCCTGAACTCCCCTCCCCATCAAGTTATGGTCCCAACAAGCCTCCTGAGCTTGTCAAAGTCAGCTTTCCTAAAGTTAAGGACTTCTGCATTGCTGACTGACTTGCCAGTTTTTCAGTGGATAGTGAAAGTGATCAGCTCATGGTCACTGTCTCCCAGATTCCCTTCGATTATTAGGTCGCTGACTAGATCATCCCCCTTTGCCAGTACCAGGTCGAGCAGTGCTTTACCTCTTGTCAGTGCATAGACTTCTTGAGTCAGATAGAGTTCATCCACGCATGTGGGGAAGCTTTGCAACCATTCAGATTTGGCTGATTGCTCTTCCCGCGAGATATCCGGGTAGTTGAAGTCTCCCATGACAGCCATGCACTGAGAGCGTGCAGCCTCAGTCAGTTCCTTGGTGAATTCCTGATCAAGCTCTTGCTCATGATCAGGAGGTCTGTAGTAGACTCCCACCATTGTGTCCGCTATTCCATGTTCTCCACGTATTTTAACCCAGAGGGTCTCCAGTCATCCTCCCTGGGTAACAATGTCAGCTTGCATGGATGTGTAGCTTTCCTTGACATAGGGTGCTACACCCCCAACCCTTTTTTCCACACAGTTGCTCCTGTACAGGGTATAGCTATCTATACCTGTGGCGCAGTCATACGTGGAGTCCCACCAGGTCTCCATTATGCCTATGAGATCATAGTCAATCTTCTTTAGCAGGAGGACCAGTTTGGCTCCTGTATGTTTCCCAAGCTCCTAGCATTGGTGTACAGGCATGTAAGTGTCCCATTGGAAGCCCTAGTCTTCCTTGCACTCCCAGGAGGACATTGTTCCAGGGTTGGGGTAGAGGTGGATTCCCTTGAGTGCCTTAGCCTGCTGGTTTTGCAGACATTGTCCAGTGGGCTTGCTTTGGCAGTTGTCCCCCATCCCCTGGCAGACTTAGTTTAAAGCCTGGTTGAGCAGGTCAGCCATTCTGGCAGAGAAGAACTTCCTCCCCAGTGAAGTGAGGTGGAGGCCATCTCTTCCCTCCAGACCACTGCCTCTCTCACCAAAGAGTGGACTGTGATCATAGAAGTAAAATCCTTCACAATGACACCAGTGCCGCAGTCTTCATTTAACTACCTCAATCCTCCTCTCCTTCCTCAACCCATGACCTGAAACTGGGAGGATCGAGGAAAGCAAGTCATGGTGAAATTCTTAGCCTAAAATTTAGAGATAATTACTTTTAATGAATAGTGAAAAATATAAATCCTTTGTATACTTGCTTATTATAAAAAGATCAATAGTTGTTTGGTCATGACATTGGTACCAAGTCATAGCATATTTTATGGACAACCTTTACAGCTTGCTGTGGGGGTCGCCTGGAAGCATCTTACCCCACTGCAAATGTGCCTAATCCCAGCTGGAGAGGATTCCACCTGGAAGTAATCAAACACTGGAATGAGTCATCCTCATGGACTGCAGGAGGTGAGGCCTAACTACTTACACCTTTATAAAACAAAAGCAGATAGAAATGAACTGTCCAGGCAACAGACCATCATGCTATGCACTTGGCCTGCTTAGAACTCCTAAGTCCGACTTTGGTGTTTGATCTTGGTTATAATTATGCCCTTAACTTCCCTGTTTGTGATACTCTGCTCTGAATTTCCATCTTTGTAATTCTGGCATGCAACTTCAAACTTTGAACTCCTGGCTTGTAACCTCCGGCTCTTTGACTTCTGGCTTCTGTCTTGACAACAAAAGTGACCTGCTCCAACCACCCATGCTCCAGCCCCTTACAGCCATCAATGTTGCCTTATCAATGCCTGACATTCTAGTGCTTCCCTAGACATCTGGCCTCAGCCTCCTTCCAGATGATTGTTGCCCAGACAATGGGCTCATTCAATCCATGGTCTCTAGGGTCCTGGACACGTTCCTAGAGCTTCTTATTTGGTATGCCTCAGATAACATTATCTTTCTCAAGAACTCTGATACTCAGATGATGCATGTTGAAATATCACCAGATTCCAATATTTCCCCATGTCTTGGATTCTGTAGGTAGTACATATATCAATGTCCAGAAACTTCCATATGACTCCCACATATTCATGAACAGGTACCAGATTTACACTGTGAGTATGGTGGTGGCCTGTCTTGAGTTCACTGGCATCATGGCCATGTTTCTGTTTTCATTGCTATCTCTGTTTTTTTTTTCCTTTGCATAGTTGATAGAGGCTACTCCCTTTACTATGGAGGCTACTCTCTCCAGTTCAAGAGGAATGCTTACATGCATTGCAACCATACTCAGCAACACTCCAGTTTGGTTGGAGAGAGGATCTTAGTCTGCTCAAAATTTATTGATGATTTCTGAATCCATCCAAAGGCATGTTAAACTACAAACATTAGAAGGTCAATAGGATTTTCATGGGATGTTCTAATATGCATGATTTGGCTGTACAATGTGTATTTTCTTTGCCTAAAGTTTTGAGCGTTGATAAAATGTGGGTTGGAGGAAAAGAAGCAGTTGAACCTATGGTCGATAAGGACACAAACCAAAGGAGACAAAGGATGCTACTTCATGCTGGCAGCCATACTAAAGAAGATCATGAAGGCAGCATAGGAAGGAAGAGTGTGGGAAAGCAATCTGAGCCAGGATGATTCCATAGGTGTTTAGGTAACTTTTAGCACAGAACTCTATTAATGCCTACACAGACATTTTTTACACTCAGCGTGAAGAGCAGAAACATACTGATTGCTTCTGTTGGGGCCAGTTTCAGACACAGCTACAGCATGGAGAGGAAGATTACCTGAGGACTGCTTCCTAGGTAGGTAGCTAGGAGATTACCAGTTGTTCTGGCATAAATGGAAGCTGGCCCAGGTTGGACAAAAGAAATCTGCAAAAGGAGGGCAACCACTACTTTAAGGGCCTGCACATAGAACAGGAATTGCCCTCTTCTGCATGGTAATCTCCAGGGTAGAGACCCTTCAGCTTGACCTGTATCTCTTCTAGGGAGACCATCACTTGCCTCACTCCCATCCCTGAATACCCATGCTGCAGTCTCCTTTCAGCCATTTAGCTGACTTACAGGAGGCACACTGTAGGTAAGTGATGCAGTTGGAGTTAGCAGTGAGTCTCCCCTCATCTGGATAGGATGGCCAGGTGGTGACTGACAGAGGATTTCCTGGAAGACATCTCCTCCAGGTATTCCAAGGAGGCCCCAGATTCTGCCTAGTGTTATGGAGGTAAGTGAAGAAGAATCCAAGGGGACCTTCGCATCTCGGGTTCCTGGCTGCAGGGGATGCTGTCAAGAGGAATAGAACTGGGAAATGGTTCTCACAACCCAGAAATGCATCTGGTTGATGATAAGGAAAAGTGGCAGCCCTCCATGGGTGTTCAAACATCTCCCTATACCTATAATTGGGGCACTTATGCACTCTTAGGGGATCATAGTATCAGTCCTCCCTTTTAATCCCCTCTTCTCTTTTAGTCCTGAGTTGGTGACAAGCTGCACTTTGGCCATCCACAGGGGAAATAAAATTCCTTACTCAATGCCTCATAAGAAATTAGGATTGCCTTCTAACACTGGTTGGGAAAGTCAGGGATAGATGATCACTACAATTTGTATCGCTAGTACATGAAACAAGATTCAGGAGATATTGCCAAAGGTCTGTTAGAGCTGTTAGATACCAGCTGCCACTGATTTTTTTTTAAGGAAAGCAGATATTTAAATCCCTTTGATGCCATTAAAAATCTTTTCCTATAACTTTTCCCATGGAAAAAGAAAAGAAAAGAAGTACAGAAGCTTCTTATGAATCATACTAATATCAAAGGTTCTTATTTGTGTAAAGTTGTAGCGCTCCATTTAGTAATACCAACTCCAAATAAGATCAAGCCTATGAGATTCCAAAAAAAATCAAGTAACTGGTTGAAAAAGAAAAGATTTAACAACACATATGGCACTTCTTTATATTTATATGCTGGCTTATACTATCAGGGTTACACTTATCACACTTATCTCCAAAATCACAAGGACAAAAAACTTTTTAAAAAAATCACAATAGTTGGGAAAACAGCAGATGAGTTTTTGTGAAGCACAATAAATATAACAAGGCTTATGTCCCAGGGGAGCGGGGGCACTGGGAGACCCCCGCGGCGGTCAAGGGGTCTGCTTACCTCCAGCAGGGCCGGAGGAGCCGAAGAAACCCCAGGCGCCGGTAGCGCCGGCGCGGGTCGTCAGCCGGGCGTTTATTCGGCTGCGGCTGAACGACGGGGGCGGGGCACGCCGGACGGGAGAAATAAATGGCGACCG